ACAACGTTGTAAAATGATTATAAATCAATCAAAAATGTTAAAAAAAAGATTCATCAGAACCAATCCAAACCTTCTCCTTGACTTGATCAGAAGAACTGAAAACTACACGGAAGAGGAGTAACAGCCTTCTCACATGATTTGATGTCACTCAGTGCCATGTCTTGCTAAAACCTAACATCATCCCTGTTATCAGCAGAGGTGAGAGTCGCCCTTCGGAAAACACCGCCTTGTGGCCAGACAATTCCTTCTGTTCCTCTTCGTAGGAGGTGGACAAACATATCTGGGTTCTTGAATCCACGGAGTAGTTCCCTTCTCCATCCCCATGCCTTCCTGAGATCGCTCGTCCAAAACCAGGATTTCAATTACTCTTGCTCTGCTTCAGCTCCCTCACTGGCTTCCCACCAAAAGCAGAAATGGTGCGTTGCAAATGGAGGTAATATTTTTTAAAGTAAATACATCTCTTGAAAAATTGTGATCCTATATTCTGTCTTTCTACGTTACACGGAAGAAGAAGACAATGGAATTGAGATAATATATCGTCTGCTTGAAAATAACCCACATGAAGTAGAGACTGATAAAAAGAAGGTCGAGAGGGGGCTACACACATACACACACACACCATTTTTTCCAACCACAAAATATATTTAAACTCATAAACACAGCAGTCTTAAGTATTATGCACCTAATTCAAAATGACCATTTTGGGGCAGGGCCCTGGTTGTAAGGGAAGAGGTGGCCTTGAGAAAGGAGATGAGGGAGAGTGTGGACCCTCCATTGTTAGGTCTGGATGATACAGACCAGCATTTCCAATGGATGCTAATAGGTGTCAGCTGAAGAAAAAAACAAAGTGTGGGAAACTTATAAAAAACAAAGCTCAAAAGATTTCTGTTCTATGATGTGTCTTCAAAGACTTTAAAATGCCAATGTACACCATGAATGACTTAGAAGGAAGTGTGATGACCTGCATTTCCCAACTTTGCTTGGCGGTGATACCACCCTCCCTGCCCTTGCTTTTCCTGGAGTATTCTACACATTAGCGATCTGAAAAACATCCTTGGACAAACTAGATTATGTCATGTACCCCTGCATTTGTAACTGAAAACAAAACATAACAAAAGCCAAATTCCTTGCAGACACGTGATTGGATAAGATGTTCGAGTTCCAGTCACTGGCTGAAATCTTTGGTAGCAGCAATAGACTTTACAGTAAATAAAACAGGCTTGAACAGAATCTTGGTTTTACAACGTGTGAATGAAGGATGGACATCAGCTGGCTGTGGGAAGAGTCAAAGACAAGATTCAGAAGATGAATAAGACAGGAAAAGGGCAAAACCTGTCAGATGATGAAGTGGAGTTATTAGGACAGATGAATGATGACCCCACAAAGGTACTTTTGGGGATAATCAAAATCAAGCAGCAGAGATGACAGCCAGAGATTAGTAATGGGAGAAACTGTGCGTAGAGGCAGGAAGGAGGAGAAGAAATGCAAGCTTCAAAGAAAAGAAATGATGGGGAGGATTCTGAGTAAGTCCAAACGCGAGAGGGAGAAAGAAAATGCACCTGCACAGACAGACTCATTCATCCTACCCGACAAAACCGGAGGCGGAGGAGAACTACCACCAGTGAACTATGACAAAGAAAAAGCCAAGGAAGAGAAGTGGGAAAAGAAGCGTGGCTTTGGAAGGCAGATGAGCAGAGGTTCTAAGGAGAATTTATAAATAAGGATAAAGGGAAGATAAAGGAAGATGCATGAACTTTGGCCGATTTCAAACTCTGGGTGTATCTCCACGAGATACAATAGAAATGGCAAATATAAGGCACTCGGACCCTTCCCAGTCAACCATGCCCTATTTTCCTTTGAATACAGGTTTGGCTTCAGAATCCTTCTCAACACAGCACTCCAGGAAGCCGCTACTGACTGATCTGACTTGATGCTACATATGAAAGTTACATTCTAACCCTCTCTGGGGTTTTGGTCATGCCTGCTCACTGACTGGAGAGGGATAAGAAAATAACACTTCTGGCTAGAAAGGCAAAACACTTCACAGCGTGAGATGTTTATTCTTAACGGACATACTAATAATGCACACATATGGATATGAGGAAATGTATGTGTGAAATATGAGTATTTCTAGGAGGTAGATCAAAGTGTTCCATATTTATCTGTCATCTGAAACTCAGTTTTAAACATTCATAAGCATATGAAAATTGGCTCATCATTTACCCTGGCAACTGAAACCTTTAAACCCAATAAACTGATATGAATTACATGTTGAGTTAAAATAGCCCATACACAACAGCAGCCTGTTTGAATAATCAGAGCTTTCCTCTTCCTTCTGTAACATATAACACCATATTGGGCTTAATATCTTAAAAGGTTGGCGTAAACACCAAAGAGATTTTTCTTCCCCTTCCACAACACAGTTTTTAAAAGCACATATAAATAATGCAACATAACATAATAGCATTGATTACAATCAGGCCACGGTGACAGTTGGGGGGGGGTGGAAATGGCGATTTTTATCAATGATGGTAAAACAGAATAAAAGAAACTGCATTCATTTTCGGTTTGAAACGAAGTTTAAAAAAAGGGAGAAAGGAGGGTGTGCGAGAAGTTGCGTTGGTTGGTCTCCATTTCCTCCTGCACACACTCATTAATTCCACCCAGATCTGAGCATCCGAGGCCTTCGCCTATTCACACAAAGAACCACTTGAAGGCCTACAATGGCCTCAGACTTTCTCTAGTCAGGGAAACATTCCGTTCTGTCTTTGAACTATTTTGTCTGAACATCCTGGTAAGTTATTCATGTTCTGCCAAACAGCTCATAATGCTCTGAGGGAGGAGAGGCAGTGAGCAGTTGAGGGTTATCCTTTTTACACTTTCTTCTGAATTAACAACAATAAAAAAAAGATGCTCATTAGCCTGGGCTGGTTTAATCGAGATAGAAAAGAGAAGGAGAGAGGCGGAGGGTAGGGAGGGGAGAGAGCAGTGATCTCTCAAGAATTTTTGAGCCCTGAGAGTCTATTGACCCAAATAAATTAACCACCATCACTCCTGGGAACCACTGCAATAGAATCCTAACTGGTCCCCTGCATTGACTCTGGCCCTCTCCACCAGAGCCAGAGAAATCTCAAAACACATGTCTAATCATGTATGCCCATCCTTTCCTCTCCACAGTCTCGCAAGGCCCTTCATGGTGTGGCCCCTGCCCGCCTCACCGGCAGCTCATAGCACATCTTGTTCTCTGGACTCCAGTCCTACTGGCCTTCTTTCAATGCCTCCTTGCCGCATGGTTTCTGCTGACCACAGGACATTTGCACAAGCTGACTCTGCCTGGAATGTTCTTTCTACTCCCAACCTCTTTGCTTAACTTTTATACTATCAGCCCAAATGTCTTCTAGCTCCTCAAGAAGGCCTACTCTGACTTGTCTCTGCACACTGGCTCAGGTCTTCCTCCTGTCTCCTCTCAAAGCACTCTTGCCTTCTCAGCATTGATAACTATTTGTGACTACATATTTGTGTGATTATTTTTCTGATCCCCCATTCAACCGTAAGCCCTGTAGGGCTACAAGAGTGACTATTTTCCTTTCCGCAGTGCAGTAGTGCCCTATACAGTGAGCATTTGACAAATACGTGTTGACCTAACAAATTAACGTGTTGCACCTAATGCAACACACTGCTTTGCTGAGATATTCATAACTGCAGCACAGAGAAAGATTTTGAAAAAGACACTACTTATAAATAAACCAAATATTATTTAGTAAATATAATACAACAAATTTATATCAAACTCTCTTCACATCATAAGGAAGGATGCAGGTTGTGACTAAAGTCTCTCAGCCTCCAGCAAGGAGATCGTTTCTTAAATTCTCTCTTGTTCCCCACTCTGAAAGAACTGGAATCCTTATTACAGCCACCGGTGAAAATACAGTCAGGTCATTTTGTTTGGAAAATAAACAAAGTGTATGTCCTGTATAACCTTCTGGGGAAACCAAACCTTTAACTTGGAGTTGGCCAAAATGGTGCCAATGAGAAGAACGTTTTGGAAGACGCACCATGGAGAAACGTCACTTACGTTGGTTTAGAAGCCTCGGCCTGGTCAGTCTGCAGTTTCTCTCCTCCTTCCACCTCCATTGTGCAATATACGATGCGGTTTGGGGCTAACGATTTGAGGCCTTGGACTTCCATGATCACCACCTGGAAACAGAATCATCCACAGTGGAGGTTACTGCCAAAGCCCATGCATGGGCAGCATCACCCCGAGGAAAACGGACGCCTGAGAAGTTACCAAAAAACCCCAAACAGGTATCTGATAGCTTCTATCAGGTTCCTGCCAGCCACGCTGGGACAGGCCAGCAAGAAGATACAATTCTTCATGGTGTAGCTTATTGCCTCCCAGATGGAAACACAAGGTTCACTCATTCAGATGCTTACAGGGGCCAGCCAGGTTATGTGAAATGGGCTATTGTTTTCAAGGTTAAACACATAAGATTATTTTTCGTTTCCACAAAAACTAGACTCTCTTATTTAAAAAATATATAGTCTAGCTTTTAATTCAGAGTTTGATGGAGACACAGGCCAAGGAATTCACTTTTCTCTTTATAATGAACAAACCGATAACACAAGTGCCAAGATAAAGGGAAAATACCATTCAGCGTTAGAGTCAGAGACACAATAGGGAGTAGTGGGGACTGTGGCAAACTGCAGGGGGGTTGCTCCATTTAAAGGAAGCAGTTGCTGCTCAGTTGCAGCCCTCTGTTGCCTTGTTTTACCCCAGTCCAGAGTTCCCAAGTACTCCAGTTTTTCCCACCCGAAAATGGAAATGTGAGTCAGTCAGAAATCTGATTTTGAAATTTTGGCAATAATTTTAAAAGGGAGAAATAAAATCCATGAACTCTGTGCAGGCCAACACTGCTGGGAAAAAACAAACAAACAAAATGCCTACAGTTGCATGCTCTCTGTCTAGGCTGAGGGAAAAGCCTGGTGTTTTGATGGACCAAGATATATCATTTACAATTCCTGGCATTTCCCACCACTACCCTTGAACTCCACTCCATCACCTGCTATTTTCAGATTCAGGGGTATTCCCTATCACTCATCAGAGAGAAAGAAGAGGAGAGGAAGGGAGGGGAGAGGAGAGGAGGAGAAGACAGAAACACTGGTTTAAAAATCTGAAACAAATGACTTGCATCAGAGATTTATAAAGAACAAGGTGTATTACAGAAATCACTGAATTGTACTCCAAAAGAGGCAATGGCATTACACAAGGAGAAGGAGGAGGGTGTGCAAAAAGTGTCCACCTCTTTAATAGGCTTGATTCAAGGAAGTACCAGAATTCACAAGTCAGTTTTGCAGCTTAACAGCCCTGGGGTTCTCAAACTTGATGTGAATCAGAATTACGTGGAGGGCTGGTTAAACCAAACACTGCTGGGCCTTCACCCACTAGAACTGCTGATAAACAGGCCTGGGGTGGAACCCAGACTTTTCATTGCTAACCGTTTCCCTGGTGACAGGGACATTGATGCTGCTAATCCAGGAGCCACACTCTGAGAACCACTGTACTACTTATGTGATGTTGGGCAAATCTTGATCTTGAAGCCACTCTGCTTTTCTTTCAAATCTCTGGAGCCTCAGTTTCCTCATCTGTAGAGTGGGGGTAATCATATGTGTTCTCTCTCTCTCTTTCTCCTTGGCTGTTGGGTGAAGATCAAACGAGACGATGTATGGAACTGGAAATGTTTCCACTGGGTGGAAAGAATCACCAAATGAAAAGAAATAGGAGGCAGAGGAGAAAGAATTCAATGTTTGGAATTGTATTTGCAAGGTCCTCAGCCACCAAGGCTCTGTTTCCCCCTCTGCAAATGCCTCGAAAGATGGTGGCGAGGATTCACGGAGTGAATAATGGCAAAGAATTCTGCAAATACCTATTGTTTTTCATCAGCACGCTTCCCCTACTGGAGGCCATGCCAGTCGTAATCCTGGACCTCAGTCCTCTCGCTGCAGTTAACTGCTGTCTGCTGTCCCTTCCAGCCATGCAATTCTCTAATTATATAAAATATGTCTTGTACCAACCTGCAAATTCAAACTCAACGTGCCCTGATGGAATGACGGTCCTCTCTCTTCTTTTACCCCCATCACTGTGTCTCTCCCAAACACATTCACAAATAGATGCTCGACGCTTGGTGCTGTCTTAAGTGTGATGCACAACTGAGCGTTCTAATTAAAAAGTTTGGGGGAACCCTAGGGCATTTCATTCTCTACTTGTACTTTCAAGTTACAGCCTGTGTGAATCATGCACACATGGCTGTACGGTTGAGGACTCGCCCACATCCATATTTCAGACAATCAGCTATATAATATTGAGTACTGATAAAGAATTAGAAAATTACAGATTTAACTGCTTCATGAAAATCAACAAACCATTTTCCCCCCTTTCAGTAGGAAGACAAGAGGCACTAGGGAATAAATTGCCACCTTTAATTGGCAATAATCAAATTCAAAGACACCTAAGAAAAAGTGTTCAGCACCTCAGGTGGCAGTATTAAAAAAAAAAAGAAAGGCAGTTTCTGGGAAATTACACTGATGATTTTTTCACACACCAAGTGCTCTGTAGTTAATTGAATACTGTCTCTTCTGACTGCAAAATACACGTTGAAAACACTGCAATGTGACTCTCTCAATCCAAACTGAGTGAGTCAAACAAATTACCTTCAGTTAATTCACAGCAAGCCTTAATGATGCTCTAGGATATTAATTTAGTCTTTACAAATTATAATTAAATCTGTAGAAAATTCGATCTATTCTCTTGGTTTCCCCAAATCTTGGGTTATCATAGAATCCTTCTGGGGGTTTGAGCTTCCCTGAGTTATGAACGGTTCTCAAACTTTGGATGCATGATAAGTACCTGGGTAGCCTATTAAAATGCCCGTCCCACGGCCATACTCCACCGAGAGATTTTTTTCCCCTGATAATTTTATTGAGGCATATTTTACATGCATAATTAACCCAATTCAAGGGTACAGTACAGTGGTTGAATTTACTAAGCTGTGCAACCATCATGATAAATCAGTTATCGGACATTTTTATCTTCCCCCAGTGAAGGTCCTTCATGTCCGTTTCTACTTCCCGTCCCAGGCAACACTAACCTGTTTTCTGATTCTGGATATTTGCCTTTTCTGGACATCTCATATCAATGGAATCACACAATATGTGGCCTCTTGCGTCTGGCTTCTTTTACTTAGTATAATGTTTTTGAGGTCCATCTAGATCTAAGCATGTATCAGTGGCTTGTTCTGTTTAATTGGTGAAAAGCATTCTGTAATTTGGACATACCACATTTTGTCTACTCATTTACCAGTTGACAGCCATTCAGATAGTTCCCATTTAGGGCTGTCGTGAATAACGCTGCTATCAACATTTGCACGCAAGTCCATGTGTATGGAGTTGTTGGAACACATGGTAATTTTATGTTTAACGTTTTGAGGAACCACCAAACTATTTTCTAAAGTGGCTGCACCATTTTATATCCTCATCCTCTAGAGATTTGGGTCAACAGTTGTGGGTGGTGCCAGGAATCAGCATAGTGAACCAGTTTTCAATAATTCTGGTATTGCTAGACAAGAGCCACTCGTTTGATTATTTGTGTAAAAACTACCATGTGAGTAAAAGTTACAGAGAAACACTGACACGTTGAACATTTGGCCACAATTCTGGCACCAATGCACTCTTTCTTGGGGTGATGAGACAAACTAAAATACGGCTCCACTGCAGCAAGGGGCTCTCTATGGGGCAGCAATGGGAGACATAATGGGAGATAACTGGTAACTCACTGTGAAGAGATGCTACGTGACTTTTTTCCTAACTGTAACACGGGCTGCCAAAATTTTAAACTTTCTAAATTGCACAAGGTATTTATGAAACCCTCACGCACTGCTTTAAGACGGGGAAAGTAATCCAACACTAAATTTAGCAGGTGGTTCTTTTGGAAAAGGATGGGCTCCCGGAGATGGAAGACGACTTGCCGATTAGCTGACCTACCCTTGGCAAGCTGCTATTTCAATAACTGCTCCTGGGGTGCAAGGCGGAAACCAAACTGTGATGCATCTAATCACCCGTGTCGTGCCTGCTATGTCAGGAAACTTTCAAGGGGTTGAGGGCTTTTTACCTCCAAGGAGAAGGACAGCACGACGTCTGACTTGGAGAGCTGGTTCTCGCTCTCCTCGCCCATGTCGATGATGGAAGCGTTGTGGCTGCGTTTGAGTTTCTGCAGCTTGAACTCGCCGCCTTTGGACACCGGCATGCTCTCCAGATTGGCCATGAGCAGGTTGACGGACGACTTCAGCTCCTCAATGTACATGTTTTCCATTTCTTTGGATACAAACTTGGGAAATTTGCGTTCCTTGTGAAAAAAAAGAAAGAAAGAAAGAAAGGGATGAGCAGAGGAATAAACAGAGACCTGATTGACAGAGATGGTTTTTCGTCTCGCAGCCCAGAGTGGTGATGACATTGACCACTAGTGAAATTTGCCCAGACAGCACGCTAGAAAACTGTTCAGCCTCGGTGTGCAGACGGCTGCCTGCCTTCCAGTTATATTTATAATCCCTACCAGGTAAGAAACACACACATAGACATATAATAAGAAAAGAATCAAATGTTTTATTAGAGTTTTATTTTGTTCCCCAGTTTTCTTCAGCAAATCTGATTTGTGGAGAGAAAAATGGAATGATACTTTTCAAATCTGTTTTCTGTTCAAGCAGTTTTTCTTTTTAGCAAAATGCATCCAGTTGTTTTTAAGTTGTGGAGAGAGAGAAAGACACCCTAGTTCGGGATAGCTACAGAGATTTTCTCACATGAATAATTCAAAAGGAGCTCATTTGAGATGTTTCAAACATGGCCTGTGGCTATTTCTAAAGAAGAAGTTAACAGTTAACAACTGTTTTCAAGAAAAATTGAAAAAAGTTAATGAAGTGATTAAAAACGTGATTAAAATTCCTTAGAAAAGAAGATAAAGCAATTTAGTATCAGAACTGATCTCTATTTTTTTTTCCTTTCTTATGAATTAAGTTGCAATGGCAACACGCTTTAGCCAGGCTATATACCTCTAAGTTGTCTAGATACCTTGAATGTACTTTGGATTGATCGCCTTCCCAAAGAACCACTTCCCACCTGAAACATGAACTTGCCTTCCCTAGCCCAGCTCCATACCTTAGCTGGTGAGGGGCAAGCCAAGTCTGTTTGACCCTTTTTGTTTGTTTTTTGTTTTTTTGCAAGTGTCATCAAAATTCAGCTTGAACTGGCTTAAGCAATGAAAGGCATGTATGGGTTTCAAAATGTCCTGGGGTAGAACCAGCTTCAGGCTAGGCTGGACTCAGGAGTCAGATAATATCACTATAATGGAGTGTTTCCTCCGAATCTTGGTTTGGGTTCCCCTGGGGTCGCTCCATGCTCAGTCTAGTTTCCAATAATGTCACAAAAAGGTTGCTAAAGATCTGTATCTCACGTCACATCATGCTATCTAAAGGAAGATACGCTCCTTTAGAAGTGCTCACAGAAGATGGAGCATCTTTTAATCTCAGAATCCTCACCTGAGTGTGGCTTAAGTACATACTCTGGACCAATTTCCATGGCCAATGATACCTCATGCTGAATTGTTTAGGCGTGAGTTATTTCTTCCATCCCTGTGGCTCAGGGTAGAACTCCACCTGAATCACATGGAACATGAGATGGTTTGCCAACCCTGGGTGGCAAAAAAAATAAGATGTCTAACGTATGAGCACCTGACTCAAACTCAACCAACTAATTCTACTAAGTGGCCAGCACTCAACTGGATTTTGATGTCTCAAGCAACTGAACTGAGAGATACAGAGATGGCAGTCAGTGGTGGAACTGAAACAGCAAGGTTATACAGACTCCTGGGTGGTGGCCATACTGTTCATACTGGATCAGGTGGAAGCAGAGTCAGCATCGGACAGAGAGAGAGGAAAAGGTGGAGAGACAGAAAGAGGGAGGTAGAGACAGAGAAAGGGCGGAAGGAGGGGGGGAGGGGAAGAGAGGGAAGAGAAGAGAAGCTATCTAGAGTCACAGAAAGGAACTTTTGACTCTTAATTGGTTTTCTTTTTTTTAATTTATTTTTATTTTAATTTTTTAAATTGGTTTTCTAATTCTAATAAAGCCAAGTCATTCCCATTGCATTTTGGATCCTCGGGATACCCTTTCTTTCAATACTTCCCCCCTATTCACTAATTAGCTAGACGGTTGTTTCTTCCTTTGCCACCACAGAAACTTCACAGAGATTCACACAGTGAGTCACAGAGATTCACTGAGATTCACATAGCAGATCCCCTTTACAGAGCTTGGAGATGCCCTTGGGTTACACCGGTCTTTCTCCCACCTGGAGGCCAGCATCAGTGTTCCCCCTTACGACCTGCCTCCCTAGGGAACTCTCAGCCACCTTGTCATCTTCCACATTTCTCAGCCTCAAAACTTTAGTTCACTAGGTTGGATCCCCCTTTCATACTTTCTTGTAATACCTCCTTCATCTTCTTGGTAGCACGTATTGTAATTATAATTAATGAAACAATAGTGAAATTTATTTAATGTCCTTCTTCCCTGCAGAGTCACAGGGCAGGACCAGACCGATCTTTACACCCCTAGTGAATTCTTGTTATCCGGTATAATATTTGGCTCATAGTCGGCATTCAATGCATATGGATGGCCCGTCAAAATGTCCATATTAAATATCAATGCAGCTAAAAGTCAGCTAGGAGGAGGAGGTGGAGAGATGGCGAAATTAAGCGCTGGAAGAAAAGTCAGATTCTGCTTTTCCATGTAAATGAGTACAGGGGTCTGAGATCCACCAGCAACCTTCGACTGCTGGTTCCTTCTAGAACCTTCTGGTGTAATCACTTCCCACCTGAAGGCTGGGCTCAGCCTACAGCCTGGTGCTTTCTAAACACACTGTGGGTGAATGTGAGAGGAGAAGCAGGATGAGTGTTTCGGAAATGAGAAAATGGACTGATGAGCTCGGCAGGACCTCGTAATGATGCAACGCAAGACTCTTCTCTTTGACAATTTTGCACAGTGGGCTTTATCATCCTTGGGCTCCATCAGAGGACAATTGTGAGCCTCGGAAGTCTGGGTATCCTTCATGACAAAGGCCATGGGCTGCTGGGTTGCCATGACTTAGAAGAGATTTACGGCCACCCAAACTGTGCCTGGCACAGTGTTAGGCATGGGGGATGGTGATCAAAGGATGTGGGCTGTTCTGGAGCTTACAGCTAGTGGGCAAAAGACCTACAGGGAAACATCAAAGTAGATGCTCTAATGGAAGCAGACGAGAAGTGAACTCTTCCTGAGACAATCAGTGGGGGCTTTCCAGAGGAGGTGACCCTTGGGCTGAGAGTCTGACGGATGAGGAAGGGTTCAACATTGACTTGGGTTGACTGAGACAGGGTCACTGGTCTTCGCTCTTCTCCGTGGAAAATATAATAGGCCACTATGAATCCAAGAAGGTCTACCTGATTGAACAGGATCACCAAGTATTTCCCCATCTCCTTTTGAACATGGCCCTTCTTAAGAGTGAAGGGAAGAATGGGATAAGTTAATTCGTGTTCAAGGCTGCCAAGCAGCAAAGCTTACAAGCTAATAGCCTGAAGGCTGTAACACTGACCTGTCTCTTTCCTTCTTGTCCTGGGGCCCAGACCTCATGACTATATGAGATTTGGGGGGAACAGGGTAAGTGGTATCCATGATTTTTACTGGAAGCTGCTGCCCCTGCAGTTTTCTCTCCATGGAGATGGAGAGAAAAACCATGTCTGTGATGTGGGTTCTTTCCTGCCAATCAGCCTCTAGACACCTTACTCTCAAGTACAGTCCTTTCATCACACCCATCTCTGGGGCTCACTCAAGGCCTTTTGACTCCACAGTCCTGAAGTTTTGGAATAAGACTCAGCGGTTACAGATAACATCCTTCTAGCCCAGAGCTGGTGTCCCTCAAACGTTACGCAGCACAATACTGGAAAAATCCAAAGAACAATCGCTCCTCCTAGAACTTGGATGGTTCCACGACATCATAAAAAGAGGCCCATAAAACTGAAGTCTGCAAGGGAAAGCAAGGCCATGGTTCCTGCTCTGGGTACTTAAGCCTTGAGAAGAAACAGCATTCTGTCAATCCAGGCTGAGGCTCTCAAGGGGAGTCTTCCACAACAGACCCGTTACAAACACATTTCAAAGCCGAAGTTGTGCCAAAACAAGGAAAATGGAGTCATCCATCCTCAACTGCTGCACTCCCAAGCATAAAAGTAAATCAGCCTTGACAACAGGATTGTTTATTCATATTGCTTTATGAAAGACCAAGCATATGGATGGATGAAGCCTTCCAAAGACACTCTCCGCCAGCCATTTATTTCGGTCTTGGGCTGATAACATTGCACCACAAGGATAGTCTCCCAAGGACAATTCCTGCCAGAGTTACTGATGCTCGGCCACACTGAGGGATTTTTGGAACATCTTGAAAAATAGCATTTGAAAGTGCAAAGAGCTCTGTCAGTCACTTGCTTTTCTTTTCTGCATATAAATTCATACGCATTTTTACCCATAGAGACTGAAGTGGGTACATATAAAAGCTGACAAGGGTACCCGCCTTGTCACTGGGTACCACCCACTCAGATAAGGGATCCTTAGACCACAAAATCTCAAATAAGATGTGGTGGATGATCTGAAGGAAGGATGTGGCAGAAGGACTCTGTCTAGACGTGGAGCTGGCCAACAGCATCACACCTATTCCATACAACCTCTCAGACACTTCCTGGGGTCCTAGCCCGGGTCAGATGGTATGGTTATCCCTGGGGATGAAAGAGTCAGCTGACAGGTAAGTGTTCAAGCTGGGGCCAGAAAGCAACCAATCAGGTGTCACCATGTGACACCCGAAGGAACAGAGGTTACGTGCAGAGTACAAAGGGACACCAAGGAACATGATCCAGTCCACGCTGCTAAAAAATAGACTCGTCTCTGAATCCTGGGCCAGCTACTTAAGAATCGTGTGACTTTGGACACGTTTCTTCACCGATCCAAACTGTAGTTTTTATATTTGAAATGTGAATCATAAACTTCATAGAGTTATTGTGAAGAGTAAGAGATAATAACCAACGTTAATGCTTTCTGACCACTGACCATTTATGTATATACACACACATACGTATATGTATACACATCACTCATACTCATGTACATATATACACACGTATATACATATGCATATACATACACACATGTGTGTGCACATACACACATATACTCATGCCCATATGCATATATACATACACACATACATATATGCATATGCACTTATATCAGGCACCACGCTACTGCCACCACTCTAACAACAACAAAACCAACAAT